TTATTTCTTCGATTTATTTTTTTGACTTGATTAATTTCTTCGATTCGATTTATTTTATAAATTCGTTTTATTCAATCAATTAAACAGTATCGATGTATCTTGTTTGTTCATTTTACCAGTACGATCATATAAATGTGTAACATCATCACAAAGTTGTTTTTATGTAGAGCTATATAAATATTTTATGTATATTATATTTAAAAATTACACATAGTTCTATAAACCCAATGTAGACTTATATAGTTATAATTTATATATAAATCTAATTCTAAATAATATTTATTTAATGGCTATCCGAAATTTAACAAATATAACAATTATATAAAATTCGTTATATAGTTACATAGAATTATAGATAATGTTTATTTAATAGTTATTTAAAATTTAATGAATACAAATTATATAGAATTATAAATAATATTTATTTAACATTTAACAAAAACCATATTTATATAAAATTTATCTATATAGTCATATAAATTATATATAATTTTTATTTAATATATATTCATTTAAATTAATAATTGTATAAATTGTATAAAAATTATGTATAAACGTACAGAAATATAAATAATATTTATTTAAATTTAATAAATAAAGCGTATATATGCAAATATATAAAATTCTTATAAATACTAATTCTGCACCGAATTAATGCAAATATTAAATAAAGTTCGATTATATAGCAGCATAATATAGCATTTATTCGCAATTGGATGTACTTGACTCGTTATTTTCTTGACTTTCTTCGTTGTCTTCATCATTGTTTTGCTATAAATTAGATAATATGATTAAAATACAATAAAGTTAAACGATGCCTACTCATAGAATCACAATATCAAAATGTATACCTACCAAGAAAGCGTTCAGTTTTCGTGTTAAATATTTTTCGTCAAATTTAATTTTGACAAGCCCGGGGTCAAATAAATTATGTAAGATAGCCCATGTCACTGCATATTGATTTCGGGTAGGCTGTCGACCAAATACTTTTTTTGCAACTATTTGAAGATACATTTTATCTTCTTCTTTGATCATACTATCCAAGTTTTCCAAACACCACTGGACTTTTTCGCTTTCTTTCCAAGCAATTATTTCAGATTCTGAGCTTTCCGAATTAATATTTGGTGAAATTTTTCTTTTAAAAATGTGATCAAATACAGCACGTCAAAATGATTCAAATAAAGCACCACGGTATTTGCAGGATTCAGCACTAATCTATAAAATTAAAAAAAAAAATTATATAAGTGACTCTCAAAAAAAAACCTTTGATGTAAGAAAGGCTAATTAAACTCTTAATATCCACTCGATATAAGAAAATTATTAATAAACCCCAAAAGTTTTAAGAAATTTTACTATGACCCGACCATCCTTCTTATACCGAGATTCACTTGTATAATGAATCAATTACTTACTGAATTTTCGATCTTAGCAAATAACCCAACCCATTTGGAATCTTTCTTGTACCGGCCCATCTTATCAGGAAAAAGAGCTTCAAGCTCTTTTTGAATAGCTTGTGTATAAATTTTATCGTTGGGATAAAGCCAATTATCTATAGCACTTTTGATACCTTGTATTATTCCTTTCTAAATTTAATAAAGTTTTTTAATGAATAATTGTAATAGTGGCATTTATCGGAATTCTGGTTAGTTAGCCAGCATTAATAAAATTTGCCCTATAATCAAATTCAAATTTTTCAAAATTGAAAATTAATGCCAATAGCATAGATCAATTTTTCTTTTCATGTACCATAAATTGCTTACTCATGTATCCCAATAATTTGTACTTGGTGATATTAGAGAATTCGAATTTCTCTTATGCACTGGTGATATACGAAGTATATTTCAAAAAGCAGTACTTCTAAGTCTTGAAAAACACACTGTAGGCAAAAAAAAAATTAGATTAACAAACGAAATAAAAAAATACAAAAAATAGCCTAAGTACATCTTTAGTCAATGTAAATACCTTGGATACATCTCTAGTCAATGTAAATACCTGGATACAAGAGTCAGCAGTTTACAGTAATTAAATATAAAAATTTAGTTGGTAGAGTTCAAGTTTGTGTTAGAGCCATTAAATATAGTGTAATAAAATTGTATAAGAATATATATTTATGATAAATGAGTGATGCCAAGAAAAAAGATACTCTAGTCATATAAAATTTATATGACTAGAGTATCTTTTCACTTGACATCACTCAAATATGATTTTAAAAATAAATACTCACACAGTCATAACTTTCTATTAAATAATTGATTACATGAGAAGAAAATCGATCCGACGGTCTAGCATTGTTGGTATAATTTGAAATATGATTATATATACCTGTCACTATTCATGACTATTGTTTGATTTGAAATTATCATGTGAAAATTATAAAGCTTTAATATCATTAATTAGTTGAGTAACCATAGCATCCAAAGATTCTTGTTTTTCTATAATTGAACTATTTTGCGGTAATACTTGTTTAGTCATTTCTAGTATCAATTTCATCATTTTACTTTCTTCACTTGATGCTATTTTAATTCAAAGTCAGTACTTGTAATGTAAAATCTATTAATTAGTCACATTTCTAAAATTGACCGTTTTCCTTATCAACTGACAAATTTTCTAACATATTGGTAAAAGATTCATTGAGTGAAACTCGAGGCAGACTTTTGGTGATTTCATAGGGAGAGTTTTGGGTATTGTTATCAATATCATCTATGTTAATATTACTTTGGTTTATAGGCTTATTTGATACTTTTTTTGTATTTGTAAAGGATTGAGTAGTAGTTTTATTTGTATATCACAGCTTTTTTATAATGGAAGTAGATAAATTAGACCTTAGAGCATCTAACACCTTAAAAAAAATAAAAAAAATAAGGATTGAAAAAATTTTTTAATTATTTTAAGAGTTCAAAGCTTAATGATTACTGAAATAACTTCTTTATGTTAAGGAGCTAACTTTTGTTTTTTTGAAGCATAATGAGAAAAGAAGTATTTCTTAAAATATTTAAGAAATTATAATAAACAATCTTCGAATTTTAAGAATTTATTTAAATCTTAATTATTTAAGATCTAAAAAAATTATAATAAACAGCGCTTTGAATTTTAAGAATTTGTTTAGATATTAATTATGTAAGGATCAAATAACAATCACCGTACATACACGTGTGTAGAGATTATGCAATACCGATATGTATAAAAATTAATGTACAAGTTAGTAATATAATTAAAAAAAAAATCAAGAAAAATTCTTGTCATTAATTGCTTTGCCCATATACCCATATAAGGTTATATTTTGTTTATTTCATAAAAATATGTGATTGGATGACATTATGCCTGATATAGAGAATTTCCGGTTTATATTAATTCATTGTATTACGAGGTCTTAAATCAGATCGATCGTTGGTTAGAAATTATTGGATTGGTTACTAACAAACACGAAAAGTAAGTAACTGCAAAAGGAAGTAAGAAACAAACAGAAGAAGTTAGTAATCAATGAAAAGAGTAGTAAACCAAGAAATAGAAGAAAAACTATAAAATAATACTTTTCTGTTGCTTTAGAAAGATAAATCGAATAATATTTAGATTAGAAAACCCTTTAATATCTCATACAGTAATATGCCTAATAATAATAATAGTATAGCATTAGCAATAATTAGTATTATTTTCACAATCGTATTTGTAGCTCTACTTATCTTAATAAAAATCTGATTCTTCTGTATGTTAAATATCGTTTTCTCATAGTATTTATTAACACAAAGTCCTTGGTAAATCTAAATGCGTCTCTGAAAAGAAATAAATTAAAATTAATTATATTAAACATAATATCAATCACTGAACTCACACATATACTTATCTTAAAATCCTTTTTGTCAACTATCGTTGTTGTATTTGTTGTATAATAGCTTGGGCTATAAAACCTTCAAGGTTTGTGTTATTTTAAAATAAAAGCTTTTAAATAACATATGCAAGCATGATAACCCACAGGAACTTATCTCTAATTATTTAGGGTTTAAATTCTCTTACGTTCAACAGAGAATTGAAATTAGTAACAATTATATAAAAGTAAAAATAGTAAAATGCAACTTGTATTGCTTCTAAGATATATATTTATAAATAACTAAGACTATTCATGTAATATACAGGAATATTCGATTGGTCATTATGTGCCAAAGGAAAATTTCTTTGGTCTTTAATTACATTTTGACCAGACAAAATCTATATAATTATTAAGGATTGTGTCTGGTCAAAATGTAATTAAAAGTTCAAAGAGGCATTTTCTCTTGGCAACACTCAAATTAAGTGGTACAGTATGTAAGATAGATTATGTAATTAAAGGTTAATATATATTATAAAATAAAAAAAAAGTAAAAAAATTTTAGCATTTTTTTTTGTAATAAAACAAAAAGCTAGAAGGTAAAAAAAAAACTTACCGATAGTGCATAGCCTATAAATATTTTAATTTTTATTACAGTAAGCTGTTATTTACTGTAATTAATAGGCAATCCACCTGAGACCTGAACAAAAATTTTTTTTTATATATAAATTTTACTATAAGCTCGAATGTGCAGTGCCCTATCTAAAACTTTTTTTTACTAAATAAATCTCTCTTAGGCTTCTAACAAAAGTTGTAGAGCTCATCAAAATGCATCTAATAGTAGTAAGAATGTTAAAATTAGCTTGGTAGTTTTTGAAAAATCTTTAAAAAACTTTTTCTCACATATAAAATTTCTTTAAAAAAAATCAATTTTTTTTAAAGAAATTTTATATGTAAAAAAGAAGTTCTTTAAAGATTTCTTAAGAACTACCAAGCTAATTTTAACGTTCTTATTACTATTAGATATATCTTGATGAGCTCTACAACTTTTGTTAGA